GGAGGATTTTGTGAGAGTATTCAGAGACGTTCATTCCTCCTTTAGCCAGACCAGCTCAGCAAAACAAATTCTTCAATCTATCTCAGGGTTCAAAAATAGTTTTGTAATATGAAGCTGAGTTCACTTCTTTAACTCGTTATGCACTTTATTATGTCAGCACCAAGGAGAAGTGCCACAGATTTTTGAGAGGTCTTAGGGATTAGTTGAGATTAGCATTGACACCTTTTGATCAGTGAATTCTTAGTCTTAAGTGGAAATAGCCAAAATGATTGAGAATGAGTTGAAAATTTTTAAAGTATAGTTGGGAACAACAACCAAGAAAAAAGGAAGATATTTGAAAAGGATGATCGATTCAGAAACAAAAAGCCAAAGTTTGATGATAAACGGAAGCAGTGTTAGCTTGGAAAACCCTTGTGTGAACAGTGTGGGAAGAGGCATTCTTGTTAGTGTTTGGTGGGATCTGGAAGATGTTTCAGATGTGGTGAGTTGGGTCATCGCAAGGTGGATTGCCCTCAAGAGAGAAGAACAAATGCCATACCATAGGAATATCAAGGATATTAGGAGCAGGCACAACATAGGAGATATCTGGAAGGTAACCAGACAAGAAAACCTTAGTTTCAGGGAAGGCCGACAGTGTAAGGAAAACTACCAGTTCAATTAGAAGGAGAAATATAAGATGTTAAAGGTAATCAAACTGTGTAAGCTCGAGTGTTTGCTATTTCACCTTATGAAGCCAAAGATTTAGAGGAGGTGGTTACATGTATACTTTTGATTTCCAATAAATTTGACAAAGTTCTTTTTAATTTTGGTTCATCTCATTCATTTATTTCTAAAGAATTATGTTTCGATTTATCTGTTGAGTCTATATGTTTTACACCTGCCTTATGTGTTATGATATTGACGGGGGATAGTTTATCTGTCAATAGGATGTGTCTTATGTATTTAGATATTCAGGGTGACAAATATCCGACATAATTTATTTTAGTACCTATTAAAACTTTTGATATTATTTTTGGAATGGATTGTCTAGTTAAACATTTTTTTACAGTTGAATGTTGGAAGAAAAAAATTAAACTTAGTTTAATGAGAATACCTTCTATTTTTCCTGTGAGAAGAATGCAACATCATCTCTAGTTAGTGCAGTGAAGATGAGTAAACATTTAAGGAGGGTTGAGTTAGTATTCTTAGCTAAATTGAAGGTCTTAAATAAAGATGTTCAAGCATTGCAAAATGTTTCAGTTGTCTCTAAATTTTTAGATGTATTTCCTAAATAATTACTTGGATTATCACCTAAAAGAGAAGTTGAATTTATCATAAAGCTACAACCAAGAACATCAGTAATTTACAGATTTCCTTATAGAATGACCCCAAAAGAATTGTAGGAGTTAAAAACTCAGTTACAAGAATTGATTGATTAGGGATTTATCAGGGCTAGCCATTTATCCTGGAGTGCACCCAAACTTTTTGTTAAAAATAAAGATGGATTCATGAGAATGTGTATTAACTATAAAGAGTTGAATAAAGTGACTATTAAGAGCAAATATCCATTACCCTGCATTGATGACTTGTTTGATCAATTAGCAGGTGCCACATTATTTTTCTAAATTGATTTAAGATCCTGATATCATCAAGTGAGAGTTAAAGAAATAGATGTCAATAAGACAACTTTTGGGACCATTATGGTCATTATGAGTTCAAAGTCATGCATTTTGAATTAACAAATACTCGTACTATTTTTATGGATACGATGAATCGAGCTTTCACTATATCGATCAGTTTGTGATTATTTTCATTGATGCTATTCTGATATATTCAAAGACTGATGAGAAGCATGCTGAACATATAAGGATAGTTTTTTGACACATTGAGGAAAAATCAGCTGTACACAGAATATTCAAAATTTGAATTTTGATTAAGTATTACTTTCTTGGGGTATATTATCAGTGGCGAAGGAATTTCAATAGACTCAAAAAAAGTGAAAGTAATGGTGGAATGGCCTACACCAAAGAATGTTGTAAAGATTCATAGCTTCTTGGGGTTGGGTGGATACTACAGGAGATTTGTTAAAGGATTCTCCCAAATTGCTATGCCATTATCTAAGTTGGTGAGGAAGGATGTTAAATTTGAGTGCACTGCTGAATGTGAGTAGAGCTTTTAGGTATAAAAATGCATATGACTACAACACAAGTGTTGATACTTCCCTTAGGAACATAAGGATTTCAGATTTATAGTGTTGTTTTTTTGAAAGGGTTTGAGATGTGTTCTAATGCAGAACAAAAAGATGATTGCATATGCATCAAGACAATTGAAACCACATGAAAGAAATTATCCTACTCACGATTTAGAACTGGCTGCAATGGTATTTGCTTTAAAGATTTGGAGGCATTATCTGTATGGGGTAAGATGTGAAATTTTTACTGATCATCAAAGCTTAAAATACATATTTTCACAAAAAGAACTCAATCTGTGACAGAGAAGATGGTTAGAACTCATTAAGGACTATAATGTGGATATTTAGTATTGTCTTGGAAAAGCTAACATTGTGATTGATGCCTTGAGTTGCAAAGCTATAGGAGTGATGAATTTGGTGATTACTCAAGAGGTTTAGTTGATCAAGGAAATAAACAATTTGCAATTGGAGGACTTATATCAGATAATAGAAAAGCCAACTTTAATAGATCATATCAAAGAATCTCAAAAGATTAGTAGTGAATATTCAAAATTGATGGAAGATGCTCAGTTAGGAAAAAGATAAAAACTTTCTATTGATATTAATGAAATCTTTATGCATAAATTTCAATTGTGGGTGCCTAGTGATCCAGAATTAAGAAAAAAAATTTTGTAGAAAGCTCATCACTTAGGTTATACAATTCATCCAGGCAGTACCAAGATGTATAAAGACTTGAAATTAATTTTTTGGTGGCCAAGTATGAAGAAAGGCGTTGCTGAAAATGCAGCTAAGTGTGAAACATGTCAAATTGTGAAAGCTGAACATCAGCGACCTAGTGGATTACTGCAATCATTACCTATCCCTAAGTGGAAGTAGAAAGAAATCACAATGAATTTTGTTATGAGATTTCCCTGATCTAGATAGGAACATGACATTATTTGAGTGATTATTGATATACTGACAAAATCAGCTCACTTTTTACCTATTAAACAAACTAATTCAGTAGACAAATTGGCATGCCTATATGTGAAAGAGATTGTTAGATTGCATGATATTCCAAAAGTTATCATTTCATATAGAGATGGTAGATTCACTTTTAGGTTGTGTAAAAGCATTCATGAAACCTTGGGCACAACTCTGCTCTTCAGTACAGCTTTACTTCCTCAGACTGATGGTCAATCTGAAAGAGTCATTCAGGTACTAGAAGATCTGTTGAGATTGTGTTTTATATTTTAAAGGCACCTAGGAAGATCACATATCATTGATAGAATTTGCCTATAATAACAGTTACCAATGATGTATATAAATAGCATCATATGAAGCACTTTATGGTAGAAAGTGCAAAACTCCCTTAACTTGGGTTGAAGTAGGGGAAAGACAACTAATAGGTCTAGAGCTGTTTGATGAGCAATAGAGAAAATCTGATTGATCATCGATAGATTGAAGGCTTCTTAGGATCATCAGTAAAACTTTAAAAGTATTATGACTACAAGCACAGAGCAGCTGATTTTGAAGTAGGTGACTTTGTATTTTTGAAGGTTGGGCTTATGAAAGGTCTAGCTAGATTTAGGCAAAGAGGCAAATTGAGTCTTAGGTATATAAGACGTTTTGAAATTATTGAAAGGATTGAAAAAGTTGCTTACAGACTTGCTCTTCCATCTGACATGTCATGTTTTTCTTGTGTCGTTGCTAAGAAAATTGGTTACAGATTCCCATCGGAGAATTTCGCACGATAAAATTCATCTATAGAAAAATCTGACTTATACTGGAGAACTAGAAAAAATATTAGATTTTGATATTAAACATCTCAGAAATTGTCATATCTCTTATGTTAAAAGTGAAATAAAAACACAGACCAAGAAAAGAAGCAATCTGGTTGATGAAATTCATGTCTTTGTGCTAAAAATCAATAATGTATTAAAGAAAAAAGGGAAAGGAAGGACTTAAGGGGAATTTCCAGGAGGAAAAGAATTTGGGTTGAATAAGGAGGAATTCAATTGAGATAAATTTGTAAGAGTTTTATATTGCTTATTTTATTTTATTTGAATGCATGTATAAATGTCAAAAACTTATGCTTTAGGTGATATACAAAAGGAAAAGGAATCGGGGTATTTTAGGTGAATCAGTTTACCCAATTGTTCTTGAAAACGAGGTGAGATACCCAAATGAAAAAAAATTGTATATTTAGAACCTCACAATTGTTATGTTTAAGATAACATTTATTCTGTAAAACTCGAAATACGTCATTTGAGTGCGTCGCACGCATCTCGATGCGCCGCGACGAACTTAAGTGAAATTTCGACGTCGTCGGAATTCGACGAAATAAATTTTGTTAGATTCGTCTCGAAATCTCGTATCTACGAGCTAACTGCGCCGGGTCGTGACATATTCCCATTTGATTAAGTATATAATTATTGATTCATTAAGTAGTGATTTCATTAGCACATTTTATAATTGCTAAATTGGAATGACATTGGAAAGTGAAATAAGTCATATATGGGGGATATGCCCTCACAAGAAAAGACGAAAGATCTGACAAAGTAAGCCTATATTTATAATTCTAAAAATTGGGAATTCATACCCAACCTTGAATGAGAGAATAATTTCTTATTCTAAAAGTTTAGAATTCAGACCCAACCTTTAATTAGAAAGTTGGAATAGTGCAAAAGCCTATAGCCATCATATGACTTGTATAAATGTATTGAATAAGAACAAGAATGTGATTTACAAGGATGAAAATTTACATATGTTTTACATTAATTGCCTATATGTTCATTATGATTTATTATGTATTATTTGTGTATTTGATTGAGCTATAGTTCATTAGCAGTGGTTGTACTACAGGCAAGGGGAAGAAGCCAGTGGGGTAGTAGTCAAGACAATTGAATACTCTTTTGTTTGCATTAAATTTTTGGGTGTATCAGAGGAGTTGTACAGACTTTTGAGTATGTAAGTAAATTTTAAATTTTTTAGTAAACTTTGTATTTCAATTGAGATTATATTTTATTTAAAATATATTATGTATGCTTCCTTTTATGAAGTATAAAGCTTGAGATGTTAAGATATTATGAATAGACTACTCCTTACTCCTTGATCTGATAGAGATATTTTAAAATAGATATTAGTAAGAAGTCTGTTCTGATTCTCCTTCTCTGTTACACTCTAAATTGAGTATGGGGGGGGGGGTGGAAATGGGGGGGGGGGTCGAAATGTGGTGTAACACTAAGAGTGTAATGCAAACATCAACTAGTTATATCAATATTAAGTATAAAATAAAAGTAACATAATATATCAAATTAATGTGAGGTATTAGGTTAGTATAATAAGTTTCTTTTCCTCACTTTTATTGTCCATCATAGCATGATAGCAACTACCAAAAATCCAATAATCATACTATGAATATAGCCTGTTATCAAAAGTTCTCATCACTTTTTTCACTCAAGGGTCTTTATTGGAGTCATTATAATAACGACTAGCTAGCTCCCTTATCTCATCTTTATTAAAATTTAAGATAACTTCAAATACTTAAAATTTTTTAGATACCTTTCTTTTTATCTATTATTATTATTAGCTTATGTTAGATGTAATTGTCTTGTTTCTATCTCTATTGAATAAATCAACATTTAGGCCTTGTTGCAATTTAGATAGTGTGATCTCATCATCATCATCCACAAATCATTTTTCATATGATGGAATATCATCAAATAGTAGGGGATCCCGATCATCTTTTAAACCTTTTTTTTTTTTCAAATATCTATCATTCAATCTTTTGTTGTAAATGATTTACACCAAGGGGTTTATCCTTAATGTTGTCAAATAATTTCTGCTTCTTATGTGAACTTGATTATATGTGCTCCAGTTACGCTCACATTCAAATGGCTAGTACGTTGCAATACGTTTACTACAAAATGCTATAACTCTTAAGTGTCATCATCAAACTAATCAACCACTCAACTAAATTTGAAAGAAAATAGTATTGACATAACTTATAAATTTAGAATTTTGAGGCCACATCTTATTTCAATCAAGATATTAAATGTTAAGTATCAACATCAACTCTCATAATAAGAGCTAACGTCAACTCTATCATTGCGCTAGATGCTTCAACATTGTCAACTTGCTCGTATATGAATGGGTTTCTTTTTTATTGCTTCTAGCACTTTAGGACTCATGCCACTTTTTTTTTATTTCAAATATATGTTCCTTCATCCTTGCAAAACCCCTTCAACAACCTTCTCAAATAATTGCACTTCAAATAAATACACGTTATGTTGCTTCCTCTAAAGTTGACTTGCATGCTATGTGTCGACACCAAGTCCGTTCTATGACATGCAGTGAATTTCTCCTTGCCTCTAACAATTTCTTACAAACCCCTTGAATGCAAATTTTGATTCTAACATATTTAAAAACATGCGAACATTCGAAGAAATAAAAACCCTAACAATGTAAAGAAATTATATAGACACAAGGGAAAAAATTAGGAATTAGATATTATAACTGGATAGAAAAAAAATTTGTTTGAAGAATGGAATCCTTATGGAAGAGGCAAACTTGGCTAGGATGATGGGATAGTAGTTGTGGCGATGTCGACGTTGGAGATGGCCGATGGCGGTGAGCTTGAAGAAGGTTTGTAGGTGCTTGGATGGAGTGGACGAACATCTTGGTCCTCTAGGCTTGTGTGCATGTGTTATGTTGTTAGGGTAAAGTATGGGTATTTATTGTGCTAACATCTAAATAATATTTATATTAAAAAATCCTGAATCTAAGAGATGCACATCTCAAGCAAACGAGGCAAGACGTGCCTTAAGACACACCTCTCAAGATGTGAGGCTTACGCTTCACCTAAACTCATTGTTTAAAATTGCGCAATATGAGGCTCGTCTCAGCGTAATTCTAATGAAAATTGCTTTAATGTTTATGCCTTGAGCTTTTTTTATGAGGCATGTGCCTCAACTTGGCTTAGGCCAACTTTGAGGTGCGCCTCGCCTCGTTGGCGTGATATATTTTTTATATTAAAATTATCTAAATCCTAAATTAAAGACTCGAATAGATCACGCCTTTATGCACCCCTAAGCTGCAGCAACATTCTCTCGATTGCCTTGACCTCCATCTTATCGCCTTCGCCACAACCACCTATGTCATAGCCGCTGCTGAGGATCATTTGAAAGCCGCACACCACCATTACCACCAGCTCTAAAAATTTTGGAGTATTAATCTATCTTTATGTTGATGAAAAACACTTATGAACATGGAAGATGATTGAAATATATGAAGAAGAAGCGTATTGTGAGGCATTGAACTCCATAGGATGAGGTAGTTGAGAGATCAATTTGTTATGACGACAACTCAAATAAAGATTTAGTGCAGATGATTTCTGAGTTGTTGCCAAAATATTTTAGTTTCTTTTAGGAATTAAATGTGGATGGGCAGGGAGACTGAGAAAGAAGGAATTTAGAGTTGAACATGACGTTCTATGATACCTTTGTGCAATTCCTATATTTAATATTATTTTTATTTATAATATTTTGATTTGAATTCTATTTCACGTAATTTATTGCTCACTACTTCATGTATTGTGTAATTTTTTGTTTCATATATATGCCAATTTGTTACTTCATAGTTTAATAGATAATTAATGTATTAACTTTTAATATATTATTAGGTTATTTTAACCTTTATCTTCACTTTGTGCTTTTTTTTAGGCTTATGTTTCAAAATACTTTAAAGTCTTACATCTCGTCTCACGAACAAAAAACATCTCAATATTCAATTGCATAATTTTAAACCTTGCCTAAACTTCAAGAGCCGTGTCTCAATGAAATTTGAGTTCAAATTGTATTGAAGCATGTCTAGTATTGTGCAATTTTAAGCAATGATTATTGTTGCGTGTTAGAAAATACGCGGCGGTAGAGTTTGTAGATTCACGTCTGAGCGTTGCACGTAAATTTAACACACAAGCAGAAAAGAAAATGTAAACACCAGAGTTTTTACGTGGAAAACCCAAAAAGGGAAAAAACCATGGGGCCTCGCCCAGTTGTAAAGTTTCACTAGTGTTTTTGTAGATTACAAATGGCTGATTCGTCCCACAAGTTGGGATAATCAGAATACAATTTTTTCTCCCAGAAATTTTACAAAGTTCTGCGAATTCCTGGTGTTTCTTGAAAATCCTGCAGAGTTCCGGCGTCTTCAGGCTACAGGAAGAGCTCCGACGGTGGTCGAGGAGGTGAGGAATCTCCTTTTCCCCTTTCTCCTCTTCTTCTTCTCTCTCTTCACTTGAGTCCCCTTGGTGTAGAATGAGGACTTTATTTATAGTTTTTCTAGAGTGACATAGTCCGTAAATAGGCGTGAGATCCGGGGCGAATTAGGAGTGTTTTGAATGGACAACCGATATTGAGTCCTTTGATCATGCACCGTTCGTTGGGCATTTGAAGGCCTTAATGATGTCGAAATTTGGCGATCTTGGGCTCGTTGGATTCGTCTCGTCGAGCCGTTCAATTCGAGTATAAGCTCGTCAAAATCGGAGACCGTTTGGTAACTCAAATTGCGGTTTGAACCTTCCAACAGCGCTTTGAGCCCTTGATTCGGACTTATTCGGGCTCGGATTGGGTTGATCTTGGTGTCGTTGGGTTCGTATTTCCGAGACGCTCTATTTGACTATAAGCTTGCTGAAATCGGAGTTCGGGGGCTCCCAAAATTAATTTTTGAAGTTTCCAGCTAGCTTTTGCCTCGAGATTCGTGCCCAATCAAACTAATTTTGTGATGCCGTATCAATTATATATTATTGTCACCTTCAACCTTGTTACCTTTGAATTGCCGCAACTATTGTCCTTAAATCTGTTGTATCCGCCACTTTGGGCTTATTGCAACTTTCACGGTCTATCTTTCATTATCACTACCCTTTAGTACTCCATCGTCATCGCCTTCGCATTTGTCAACATTGTTGCATTCCAATACTTTATTTGAAACCTGAATCAACACCATACATTGATTGATGTCTCGTCGTGTCCACCATTGCCTGTTATCACCACCAATTGGTGCCCATTGCAGTTATAACCATTACGCAATCATGTCTTTTTATTTTGCCCCTCTGACTGATTTGATAGTGAAAAGCTTTTATTTGTAAAATGAACTCGCGGTGAAGTTTATTATCTAACCTAGATCGTGTGGTTTGTCCCTCTTGATTTTTCACCTAAAAGAATTTCATGCTTCCTAATTCTAAGACGATCACAAATCTATTTAACGCTCGATTCATAGAAATTTCCCTTTTTTATGCCTCACAAATGATTTTCTTTGGCAATAGAGGAGGAAAAATATTGTTTTGGCCGCCTGTAATTTATCAATATATGAGAAGTTGAGAACTAATAACTGTTCTTACCGAATGATCTTTTAGGTATAGCATATTAGTACAGACTTATTTGAGTTGTTTGAAGCATCATCGTTATTCAGAGCTTGAAAATATCAGCTGAAGTCCTTTTTTTGTTGATTTACATGAATTTGCATTCTTCTCTGCCTTCTCTTCTACTTCTTCTTTATGCTTTACTGCTAGTTGTGCTTGATGTAAATTCTTTATTCTCTTCACTTTGGTTCAGTAAGGCCAGTAAGGTTTCGTTTGAGACGACTTTTTTGTTACTTTTTAAAGCAATTTTTTAGAAGCAACAAGAAAGTCGTCCGAAATGAAGCCTTAGTTGCTTATCTCGCTTAAAGTTACAGATAATAAAAAAGATTTCTCTCCTCTCTTGCAGAGATGTGCAGTTGAAGCGTATCTACGCAACCTAACTCTGATAACAGTATAGGAAGAAGGAAAACTGAACCAAGAAATTGTTTTTAGTTTACTATTGACCTTTGTAATTTATCTATGGTGAAATTTGATAAGATAACGAATAGTTTGGATACAGATTTGGTAATATGATTGCCATAGCTCTCTAGATTATTCTCCTTTACAGCATCGTTCCATATCGTATCTTTGTGGCCCCATTTTCATGGAAAGCGCAAGTGACATAAACTCCTATCGTTGTTCTTGTAGCATTGGACTCGTATCCTTCCTGTAGCCATATGGCTTCTAATTGTAAGCTTTATTTCGGTCGGCTCTGCAGATTTGATTTTCCCATTTCTGTAGAGGAGCTTATAGCTGTATGAAATTCTGATTTTTGTATAATTTGGAGTATTTTGTTGGGTATTGATTGATTTGAGCATGAAGTGGGAGATTATAAATTTTTTGGGGGAAGTTATATTTTTATATTGATTATTATTTTAATTTTGTGATTTTTTTTTGTTTTTTTTAATGTTCATTATTATTTCATTACAATTGAATTATTTTTATGATGTGAATCTTAATTGAATTATGATTTTTAAGGGTTTCAATATCATATTAAAATTGTTTATTTAATCAATACATAAATTATTGAATGGAGTGAATTTTTAGTTTTATTTTATTGCATCAATAGTTAATGAATAAGTAGGGAAACAAAGAATATGATTAATTTTTAAAAAAATTTAATTAAATTGTTAATGATATGTTTGGATTTTATATTAGATGTACACACCTTTTAGTTATATTTTATTTGTCTTAAGATTATTATGTTATAATAATCTATTTTGCCAAGGATTTTATGCTTGTTGGCACTTGGCCTATATATTAAATATATCACTCTTATATATTATTGTTATATTATTATTTTATGATTGTGTTGAATTTTTCACTTTAATCTTTAAATTGTTTGATTCTAGTTCTAAAATTTGTTATCGTAAATTTATTTATTTATTTATTTATTTGTGACGAGGAAGCACTGTTTTTAGGCCAGTGAAAATTTCAGTCGACCTAAAATGCAACCCACACATTAAATTTATATTAGAAGAAAAAATTATGATGTTTATTATTGACAATGAAATATTAAAATTTTTATAATAAACATTTATGTAAATTTTGACATTTTATAAGAGGCACAATAGTAATTATTTTCATATTTTTTTTTGTCGGCACTTGGCACCCCAGTTTTTAAACAAAAGCAGTGATGTTGGGCCGTCGGCCCACTCTACTAGTTATGTGGTTGTAGGCCATGTGGCTCACGTAGCATTATGGCTGCTGGCGGAACTATTATCTTACCTGCTCTGTTCTTGTAGCTTTATATGCAGTTCCTAATATCTTGCGAATTCTTTTGTTCTTTATGTGACTCCAAATTTGATTTTTGTATGTCATGTAATATCTATAAATAATCAAATATCCCCAATGTTATTTTTAAAAAATATATATAGCCAGAAGTTTTTTAGGATAAATCTTCATGGATTGCTTATAGAATTCTACCCAAAAATGAAAATGATTTGAACAAGATTTAAGTATATTTCTAAAAAGGTTTGAATTAGGTTTAAATGAAAATTGGGACAAGGTTTAAGTAAGATTCTAAGAGTAAAATTTTAAATTATTCAAACAAGATTCATTTAAAGGTTCAAATAAAGCTTTGAACTAAAATCGAATAAGCCATAACACAACATACAATAAGATTTATACAGCGAAGTGCAATCACAACAACTATAATACTAAAATTACAAAGCTTCGAGCCTTATATCAACTCGGTTGAGGTCATGGTTGGGTACTAAGGCGGGAGTGGCAGCTTATTGAATGGAGCAGATGGGTTCGGAGGAAGGAGTATAACCGGTAGTGAAGAGGGGGCTTGGAGTTGGTTGTGCGGGTCTAGCTTGGTCACGATTAGAAGATTGAAGGCCGGCTAGGGCTTCGGGCTTGGAAATGGGCTTATGTCGGTGGACTAGAGCATGTGATTGAGTTGACATGGAGAGGCAGATAGGAGACAAGCATACAGAGATCGTGAGAGCCATGTAATTATGGAATTCTTTTTGTGCGTGATAGTTTGAATGCTTGGAGCTTTCTATTTGCAGGTAATCCTGTTCATACTATATGAGGAAGTTTTTGTGTGTCGTAAGGGAGCGTGGGGAACAGTTGTTTGATCGTGAGAGAATTGAGTTACAGGATCGTGCGGGACTGGGTCTAATTGTGGGTTATATGTCAATAATTGCTCACCTGACTAATGTCCCTTCGACCATCGTCGCTAAACTATGCTCTCTCCGACCACTCTCTCCTGACTACAGTCCCTCCGACCTCCATCGCACGACTATGATCCATTCGACTTCTATTTCCTGCAGACTATAGTCCCTTCGGCCTCCATTGCCACCCAACTATGGTCCCTCAAACCTCTCTCGTATGACTATAGTCCCTCCAAACCCCTTGTCTAATTATGATTCCTCCGATTGCAGTTACTCCTCAATTATGGCCCCTCTAACCACAATTACATGATTACAGTTCCTTCTGCTTTAGTTATCTGACTAGGTCCCTCCAACCATCGTTGACTGGCTACTTCTGATTTCTATCACCCATCGATTACAGTCCCTCTGACCTCTATCGTCTAACTATAATCCTTACGAACTCTGTTTCTCGCAAACTAAAGTTCCTCTTACCGCTATCACCCAACTACAACCCTTCGACCTCAATAACCTGATTATGGTACTTATGATCTTTTTCTCCTACCGATTACAGTTCCTTTGACCTCCGCTGCCCGACTACAATCCCTTTGAACTCCATCGCATGACTACGACCCCTTTGGCTACAATTGCCAATCGACTATGGCCCTCCGACCTCCATTGCCTGATTATAATCCCTCCCATCGCAATCGTTTGTTACTACGATCCCTCTAAAAATCGTTGACCAATTATAGTCCCTTTTGATCTCCGTCACACTACTATAGTCCCTCTGACCATAGTCACCGAACCACGATCCCTCCAATTTCTGTAGCATGTCGACTACAGTCCCTTCGACCTCCATCACCCGACTATAGCCCCTCTTACCTCCTTTGACCATGCGACTATGATCCTCAAACTACAATAGCCCGACTAAGGTTTCTCCGACCACTATAACTTGACTATAGTCTTTCAACCTCAATTTTATGACTTAGTTCCCCTACTTTTCAAGAGAAGACCAGCTGTTGTCCAGAATGATTCCAGGATTTTGGCCAAGATCTGGTTACTATCTTGAATTTCAGACTCAGGAGAACTGCTATCTAGCAGCCTAAAAGGACATAATCTGATATCCGAAGCCTCCAATAGAATAGAAGAGTAGTCCAAGGCTTGCCGAACCTAGTAGGGTGCTGCCAGAATCTGTCTTCGGCTTCTAACCTGCTGTCCAAAGACTCCAATAGGAATTTGTTGCTGAACAACTGCCCCATAAGCCGCTAGTTCCTGTCTACTTCCTCTCAAGCACATAAACCCCACACCGGAGCTTCGTTTGTCATGTTTACTTGAGTGGTCTCTCTTCCTAATCTTTCGCTCTCAATTGTAGTTCTAATTGACCAATGGAAAGTGATGTTAATTCTTTCCGCTAAAGCCTAGCATTTATTAGGAGTTGTGTGAGTGATCTTTCATAGCACTACTCTTATTGTTAGATTAGAGATTTCTTGTTGAAACACATTTTGTTGTCAACGTCTAAGAAATTGATTTTTATGTGTTTTTTACTTTTTCACAAGTAACTTGGCCTAAGCTTGTGTTTATCGTTCTTTGGTTTTAATTATTTGTTTGAGTCATCACAAAGCTTTAATTAATTCGCTCCTACTCATTAAGCATGCAAATTCTTTATCTAAATCAAATTTTCATATATGTCCTGCATCAGTCTAGAGCCCAAGTCGCCAAAGAACCCTAATAGAGAATACATCAAAACATAACCTAAACCAAAAACATCTCATGATATTTAATACAATAACTTTCCTAACAAATTTCCCTCCCAAGCCCTAGCCGCCCCTCCTTTTTAAATTTTAATTTAATTGGAATAGTGGGACCTACTATAGTGGGTGGCATCCGTAGGGGAGGCGAGACTAGCCAGCCTCCTGTAAACACGAATCAGCCCTGGACAGGCCGATTGGGCCGATTCAGGAAGAGCCGACCTATCAATATTTCCCTCCCAAAGAATCACCATGTCCTCAAGGTGAAAACAAGGAAACTTATATTTCACCATCTTGTTTGGCTCTCATATGACATCGTTGTCAGGAATGTTCTTCCACTTGATTAACACTTCCTTAGTTTCATCTTCTTTCTGACGAACCCCCCATCAACTCTAAGTGTTTCATAATCACATATAAATTCTCAGTAAGTGTCCCCGGTAACTCGGAGCTGGTTGTATAATCACCAATGGCCTTTCTCAACTTAGATACATTAAAATTATGATGTATAGTTGTCGTTGATGGTAGTTTCAGCCGATATGCTATTGCTCTAATCTTCTCCAATACTTCATATGGTCCAAAGTACCTTGGAGCAAGTTTCTCATTCCTCATATTAGTGATTATCTTCTATCTGTATGGTCAGAGCTTCAAGAACAACCTCTTTGCCACTTCTAACTGGATGTCCTTCCTATGCCCATCCGCTTGTTTCTTCATAATCTGTTGAGCTCTCAGTAGATGTCTCGTCAACTCCTCTAGCACTCTATCCCTCTCCCTCAAGTACTCCACTGAAGAAATTGAAGTACAACTACTCCCAAAGTGCACCAAATGAGGAGGATCCCTTTCATACAACACATTGAATGGGGTCATCTTAGAAGCAGAATGAAAAGAGGTGTTGTATCACTACTCAGCTCATGATAGCCACTTGGCTCATCGCTTAGGTGTCTCCGACACAAAGCTTCTTAGGTAAGTCTCCAAGCTCTTGTTGACCACCTCCATTTGACTATCCGTCTGTGGGTGGTAAGCGGTGCTCCTCTTCAGAACTATTCCCTGTAACCTGAATAGCACCCTCCAAAAGTGGGTTAGAAACACCTTATCTTTATTTGATACTATCGCCTCTTATACTCAATGCAATTTGACTACCTCTCTGATGAAAGCGGAAGCTACTGTCACTGTCATGTACGGGTGTTGTAGTGGAATAAAATGAGCATACTTACTCAATCTATCCACCATGACCAAGATCGTTGTGAATCCCTTAGAACGGGGCAACCCAACTATGAAGTCCATAGACACCTCCTCCCAAACTTCTCCTAGTAAGGTCAACGACTGTAATAGTCCTCTTGGTGACATATCCAAATACTTATTCCTTTGACAGACTTCACATCTGGCTACAATCTCCACCACATCCTTATCCATCCCCTTCCAGTACATCTTCCCCGCAATCCTCCTGTATGTCTTCTGCACCCCTGGATGACCTCCAAT